AAAATTTTTTTTTTTTTTTTTTTTTTTTTTTGTGTACACTTAGCTTCTTACCAATCTGTCAACTCTTTGTTTGTGTCCTGATCTTCAGGCCTTAATTTTCTTAAAGAATTTCATTAACGAAATGTCAAATTTTCTTGTTCTATATTCTTTTACTTCTGAAGCTATGAGAAAAAGTACATGGAGGATGTCATGCTGAAATCAGCTAAACAAGTTGAAGATGGAAAGAAGGAACCTGATAAAACTGAAATAACATCTAATTCTCATGAGAAGAAAAATGCTCCAACCTTGTCATCAAGTGATCAGGAGAAGAAAAATGCTCCAACCTCCTCATCAAGTGACCAAGACTTGGACCTATTTCTTCTTGGGGATCTTGGAGACAGCGATGACGGTCCAGGTACAGTGCCACAATTTATTGATGTCTGCTCTGTACTAAAGATTTCAGACAAAGAAATCATGCCTCTACTTAATCTTTAAAGTTCAAACAAAGATCTGATCCTTTGACGTTATTGATTTTGTCTATTCAAGCTTGTTAATTTTAACAGTATGACAAATTGTTGTTGTCAAGATGCTGTATTAGCAATTGGCATATATCTTTTTTAGTCCCTACTGAAGTTTTTTATCTGGCAGAACAAAAAACTGCTCACTTCTTTATCAAAAAGGAAGACACTAGAGAAATGTGGTTCTTGGATTTGAAACAAGTGATTTGAGGGAGTGGCTGCCATTGGTCATTTCCATGGCTTCAAACATTATGGTGCAATTATTAGCAATGGGCATAGCATATGCACAGTCCAGTTATATAGTCCAGTTTATACTGTTGATGTCATTTTGTCATTTGAGGTTGCTGCCACTGATATTCTTCCCGATTTTTCAGATGATGGAGATGAGGGCTTTGATGATGATTTTGACAAAATGGTTGACAGTTCGGTAAGTAGAATTTATCATTTGCTTTACGTCCCTGTTTTCACGTTTGACTAATCTCTTGTGCCTGGCATCCCAAGGTTTTCATTGAAGTTTCTTATGAATTTTGTGTTGCTATGTTGCTGAGATTTTGTGGTCATTAATTGGATTTAGAAACTCCTACCAGAGAATGTGATCATATATTTGCTTTTTTCTTTCACGATTAGAGTTTTTAATTGGATTTATAATAGGTTGATTTTAGTTCTATTCTAGGAACAATTCAAAACAACGTTCAAACGAAATCCATAATCTGAGCAAGTTCTTTCAAACAGAATTTTGTTTTTAGAAATTAATAATAGTTCGTTCCACTCTCCAACCGAGCTTTCCCTTTCGGGTTTCTCCTCAAGTTTTTTAAAATGCGTCTACTAGGGAGAAGTTTCCACACCTTTATAGAGAATGCTTCGTTCCACTCTCCAACCGATGTGGGATCTCAAAATCCACCCCCATTTCAGGGCTCAGTGTCATCGCTAGCACTCGTTCCTACCTTCAATCGATGTGGGATCTCACAATTCACCTCCCTTTAGGGCCCAACATCTTCACTGGCACACCACCCAGTGTCCACCCCCCTTCGGGGTTCAGCGTCATCGCTGGCACACCACCTGATGTCCACCCTCCTTCAGGGCTCAGCATCCTTGCTGGCACACTACTCGATGTCTACCCCATTTCGTTGGCACACAACCTGGTGTCTGGCTCTTATACCATTTGTAACGGCTCAAGCTCACCGCTAGCAAATATTGTCCTCTTTAAGCTTTCCTGTTCGGGCTTCCCTTCAAGATTTTTAAAACGCGTCTGCTAGGGAGAGGTTTCCACACCCTTATAAAGAATGCTTCCTTCCCCTCTCCAACTGATATGGGATCTTATAGCCATCCCTTCGAGCCCCAGCGTCCTCGCTGGTACTCGTTCTTCTCTCCAATCGATGTGGGATCTCACACAACCTCCATAGAATTTGATATCCTCTATAGAATTTGATATCGTACGAGGTATCTTGACAACCAGGGGTAGGATTAGGTAGTTGTCTCATGTGAATAGTTGAGGTGTGTAAGGTAATCTGGACACTTAGAATTCCTAATGATTACTCAGATATTTAGCTGTACTGCAGTTTCAACCTTGTAAATTCAGCTTCATGCATTACTGTAATTTGCTAGTTCTGGAAGTCAAAATCTGAAAATGTTCATTTTTCTCTTCTTGTTACCAAAATCGTATACCTATTATTTGGTAATTGAATTTTGTCTTCAATCCATAAGACGACGAGATACTAATTGTAGATGACGTTCTACTTGTTCTTATCCTAATATTGATTCATTGCTTTCGTCCATTTGGAAGTCCCCTTCTAAGGTTCATGGCTGTGGGGATCGGGTGATGTCAAATAAAGCCCAAGTCATATCACTCCATTAGATGTCAAACAAGGGCTTTGACTTAAAAAACAAAGTAATATTCTTATGGAACCAATGACAGCCAAATGCAAAAAGCTCCTCGAAAAAACACCATCAAGCCCGTTGGTTCATTCTTTGATTCCTGATAATCTGATGTCTCAGACCCATCCGTGACAGATTTTGAACACCCTATCCATGTAATCCGAATTCTTAGTTGCGCAGTACTAACTTTCTCCTAAAAGTGTTCTCAAGTGAAATACAGATTGTATTAGGATTCATGAAAAGAAATGACAAGTTGCTTTCTTTAAAAGCATTCAAGTGCTTTTTTATCTATTTTTTGTGTTTCTCTAGCCACTTTTGATAGTAAAAAATTTGACAAGTTTTTTCTAGAACCAAACACTATAATTTCTTAAGGAAAAAAAACATTTTTATTCATTCATCACTCCAAATTCACTTTTTATGTGCTGCTGAACTTTGGTGGTGGTGGAATTCTAAGTCGGATTACATTTTTATGTTTTTATCGTGTGCCTATTATTTTGTAATGAAATTTGTCTTAAACCTTCAGGATGACGAGAAAGACAAATTGTAGGAGACAGCAGCAGGAGTGTTTTCACATCAAATCATTGCTACTCATCCATTTGAAGTCGTCTTTTCCGTTCTTGGTGGCAGAGTTCAGTGGGCTAAATGATGATCCAATGAAAAACCCATTTGAAGTCCTCTTCTATCACTCCACTGAGCAGCATGTGCACCTGAACCTGTGCAGGAGAAACCGAAGCTTATATGTTCATTATTTTTTTTCCCTTCTCACACTTGCCACTGAGGGAGGTTCCCATGTACACAAATCCTGTATTATACTTGGACCTTTGGTTGATTTTGTACAGCACTCAGCACCTTAGCTTGGCCCTCTTGGTGTAGGATTAATATTTGTTTAAATTATAGGTTTAGTTCTTAAACGTTCGAGGTTCTTGAACTTTTAAGTTTATGTCTATTTGGTCCTTAGAGTTAGATACATCTACAAACTTTCAATTTTATATATTATTAATTTCTAGAATTTTTCAGAGATTCGTTTAAGTGCTTATAAGACATGGTAAAGTTTAAGACGGTTTAGACACAAAATTAAAAGTTTAAAAATGAAATAGAGACTTTAAAATTTATGGACTAAATTTCGAGATGGTATATTCTAAAGTTAAAGTAAATCAATAGATTTAGACAAATTTAAACTTCCGTTGCGTAGATAAGAAGTAAAGTCTATGAGAGAAATTTAAGTTTGAAGCACTTCTAATATGATGTTTAATTATCATTACATGTAAATTTGTTAGGCTAACTCAATTTAAAGAACTTTTTTCCCAATATATTATCCACTTTTTAGTTGGATTGACGAGTTTAAACTATAATGCACTAATTCTAATCACTTAATCTCGTTTCAGATGTCGAGGAAAGTATTTCTCTTAGTAGATACGACACTAATTACTATATTAAAAATCGATAGTTCGATCTTCTACTTTCAATTGTTGAATTTAAAATATGTTTAATTATTTAAAATTTATCCAAAAACATGTTTAAGTTCAGATTAATTCCGAACATAAAAAAAGAGCTCAAGATTTAAACATCTAACCAGTAAAATAGATATACATATGATCATTTGCTTCGGGTAGCTACCCGAGCATTGGACATGGACCATCCAACCACTTAAATTTTTCTTAGGCCAAACACATTGTATTCAACTTGTGACAACTTATTTGCTACATTTTGTCTTATATATATTTTTAAAACTATGCTTCAAATTCATATAAAGTTGGGATATTCCTTGGAAATAAATTTATTTTGTTTTGCTGACATTATAATATAAGCTGCCTCTTGAAGTTAGAAATCCCTTTTTTTTCCAAGAGATGATTTGGGCATCTTGATTAATTAAATATTAACATTAATTAAAAATATTTATTTTTCACTTATTTTTCACTCTTAGATCATTATTAATTAATTTAAACATGACATAACAGCTAAATAACCTACTTAAAACTCAAAAAATAAAATAATTTTTTATTTATTTAATGCTCTAAGAAACCCACGGATTAAAAAAAAAAATAAATAAATAAAATCCCACAAAAAATAAAATAATGTTTTTATTTAAGCCACCCGTTGTGGAATCCTTAGTCAACCCTTAGCTTGAAACCTTAATGGTGGCTATCCTTGAAGATGTCAGCCCTATTGGTTTATTATTTTATTGAAATAATTGCTAATTATTCACATAATATCACTAATTATTTTTTCCAATATTAATTATATGAGCTACGTCCCAATTTTATAAATATGATAATCAATTTTTTTATTTTTTTTAAAAAAGAGTCATATTTTTCTTTATTGAAGTTTATTTAAACAAATATTGAATTCCAATTGAACCAATAATTGATCAAATTAATCTTTTAAAAGGAAGATTATATCCATTAAAATCAAAGTCTTCCCTAATATTATAGTCCATTTGAAATTTTCAAACTCTAAAATGGTTTTAAAATACTTTTCATTATAAAATAATCAAACCATCTAGTTATTTAATTTTATCCATAAAACTTTAAGTTTTGTAATTTCAAATTTATAATAATTTAATTTATAACAATTTAATTTTTATAGTATAGAAATTCATCATAATTAATAACTATTTCAAATTTATAATAATTTAGTCCCGACACTACAGCCGTCTTTTTGTGCTTTTTTAATAGGTAAAAATAATAATGGGTAAAAATGTAATAATGGGTAGAAATAAAAGAAACACGCGCTTTCACGCGCGACAGGTTAGCACGTGCCACTCCCCTAAAAGACACCGAACTAGTTCTAAATAACAACGTGGTCCTGGGGCCCACTGCAGTTCAGAGTTCACAGTTGAGACACCCATTCTTTCCCTCTTACCGATTGCTCACGCGAATATAGCGGGTGTGGTGCTCAATCTCTTTCTCTGGTCGGCGCGTGAGGTGGAAGCCGGGCTTGTCCAAGTAGGACATCTCTTTCAAGCGAGCTCGTTCCACGTGGCTTAACGGACCCACCTACAACCAACGCGATTCTGACACCTGGACATCACTTTCATCACACGGCTTAGAAGCTTTGGAGACGGTGAGAATAAAAACGACCGTTGCGGTTGCGGCACTGTCATAGTTCAGGCTCCGTCAAGACGTCGTAACCGACAGTGTAACGGCAGTTGAACGGCGAAAATTCCCTGAAAATAAAGCCAGCTGTCAGTCCACGCAATCAAAATAGATTTTATCGCGAATATATCGTTCCGTCAATGGTTCTCTTTTTACATTAATTCCATAAATTATTTTTAGAATATTAGATTTCATAATTAAAAGTTTGCTTTATTTTGTTTGACATGTGTTGGTTTTCTTTTATTTCTCACTTCCTTTTAAATATATTTTTCATTTATGGTCAATTTGTAACGTAATTTCTTTTTTTTTTTTGTTTGGTTTCCATATTTTCTGAATTTAATTCAATATCTGTGACCGAATTTATACGATGGTTACTATGTTAAAATTGAAAGACATACATGATATCATTTACATATATTATCACATGACGATCCACATGTTGATTTCTATTACCTTGTGAATTGTATCACATAAACATTTTAATTTTTATTGGTTGGAGTTAGTTGGCAAACCGAGTAATGACTTGAAATTGACATAACGCACCAATTAGAGTGCATAGGGTTTATGCTTATAAACAAATAAAATAAAAAACACACTTTAATTGAGTTCAACCGTTTCTCCGCTCTACAAATAATCATTAAAAATGCGGTGTGTAACACTGAGGAGCCTGACCTTAAATGGGGAGAAGAACGAGGAGGAAACATACAGAGATTTCTCTCTATTAACTAAATAGAAAAGGAAAAGAGGAGGAATTGAGATTATACCTATACATATCGAAACTAAGACACAAAATTAGTTTAATATATTTGTGTTTATATATAGATATATAGTAGTAAATAAATATATTAAATTTACTACTATGTTTTTCATTTTGAAATACATATTTTATTAAAAATTATATTTGAAAGGAATATATATATAAAACGAAAAAAAAAATTCGAGATGTGAATCTGCGTGTTGAACCCCTTTACTTAATTCTTTCTAAAACTTATCTTCTAGTAAAACATTAATACGTTTTCTATGGGTCAAAGATTTAGATCAGACACCTCTGTGATTAAACTTCAATTTTTTTTTCTTTAATTCAAAATAAATGGATGAAAATTCGAATTTTGATATCTTTGGCCAAAAGAATATGTGTTAATCAGTTGAATTATGCTTAAATTGACTGCATCCTCACCCGTACTTCACCGTGTTAAAGTCAACTCTACATCTAATAGTTCCATCTCTTAAATTTAGCCATGGTTTATTGTTTTTTCTTACGTCTAAACTTAGAAAAGTTGAGGTGATTGGAATATATTTATTTTTGGTCCATTAATTCTAAATATATATATATATATATTTTGTTTTTAGAGAAAGGAAAAAGTCCAATACTTTGTATGAGTTATTTAAAAAGAAACCATATTTATTAGGATGAAAAATTAATTAATACTGGAAGATGAATATTAGCAAAATTAGTATTATTTTATTTTTAAAAGAAAAAAAAAAGCATAAAACTTAAATTGGAAGGAAAGTAACATTATTTTTTTTATTTGTAATGAGTAAGATAAGACGAGGCAATTAATTATATTTCTAAAATTCAGAGCAAACAAATAACAAAAGGTAGTATTTGGAATTTCCAAATATATTTTTATGTAAATATAAATAAATAAATAATTAAAAAAAAATATATATATATATATATATAGTTTTAACTGAAGTACCGGCGGAAAATTAGTAAAATATCGCCATATATTGTCGGCGAATCGTCAGCAGATTAAATGCACGCAAATCTAAGGATAGTACAATCACCCCAGCATAGCATACGGGTCTTGATATCCCACCGTAGGAGCCTGCCACGTGGAAATATGACCCATTTGATTTACGACACGTCATGAAGACAGTGGGTCCAGTTTTCTTGATGTTTAGCTGGCCTACATTTATTGGTGTGTTTATTTAATTATGGGTGAGCACGGAGCCCCAAACCAAACTCCCTCACAGTCACTCGCGGGTTAACTTCCTGAGGTGTACGGCTTCTGACTTTCTCTATCTACCCTCTCTCTCTCTCTCTCCTCCGTGTGTTTGTTTGGGAATGCGAATACTCTCGGCCACGATCCTTTTGCTTATCGAAGTCATTATCTTTCTCTCTCTTCCTCTCTTTTTCTCTCTTTTTATATCGGTCTATTTTTTGCGGTTGTGCTGTCGAACCTTGCCGGCGGAGAGTGGTGGAGCTCAGTGGGGGGTCGGCATTTTTGTCGGCGGACCAACCAATTCCATTTCGGGATTTGAATTTCTCTTCCCAATTGGGACGATCCCATTCAGAGGCTTTAATTGATCTGGGAAATGCAGTAGGAGTTGGGTGAGTTTAGATGCGGCGGAGTCTTGGGAGACTGACAATTTCAGCGCGGTTTTTACGGTAATGTGTGAAGAGTTTTGAGATTGAGACTCTGGGGTTGAATCGGTGAGGAACTGGTTGGCATTGGCGGTGGATCTCGTCGGATTAGGAGGGGAAATTGTAATTGTTGTAAGATGCAGCGGGGGAGATCGTGATGTGCAGGGTAGAGAGGAAGAAGTGGTCATTGAAGAGCTCTATGGTGATGGGATTGAAAGCATTGGGAGAGAGCAAAGTGGAGAAGCTCAAGAGTTCAATGGTGTCGCCGAGATCGAAGATGAAGCTATGGATGATCCGTGCAATGACTTCTATATTGATTTGGACGTGCATCGTGCAGTTGACCGCGCTGGGGGAGACGTGGGGGCCGAGGGTTTTGAAGGGTTGGCCATCTTGTTTCTCTCAGGAATCTGCATCAGTGGATGCGTTTGGTATCATCCCTAATAAGCCTCTTCCACTTCCCCCCAAAATAGTTCTTCCCCCCAAGAGTAAGTTCTTGTTCTACATGATTTTGGTGGTTTCATAAGCTGTCTGTCCTTCAATTCTGATTCTGTTCTTGTTTGTGTAGGGGTGTATAAGAACAATGGTTACCTGATGGTCTCCTGCAATGGAGGGCTCAATCAAATGAGAGCTGCAGTGAGTGGCATCTTCTCTACTTGTGAATTGTGATATCCATCCAACATATTGAGTGCTTACTCTGTTAAATGCTTCACAGATTTGTGACATGGTAACAATTGCAAGATATTTGAATGTGACCCTTATCGTACCTGAGCTAGATAAAACCTCCTTTTGGGCTGACCCCAGGTTTGTTTTTGCTCATTCATTCATCTTCTCAATGCATTCATATCTAGTTTTGAACAAGCTTTGTTTGGCGATGATGTTGCAGTGAATTCCAGGACATATTTGATGTACAACACTTTATTACATCACTCAGAGATGAAGTCCGCATACTGAAGGAGTTACCTCCCAGGCTCAAGAAGAGAGTGGAACAGGGAAGGATTTATTCCATGCCACCAATTAGTTGGTCTGATATATCTTACTATCATAATCAGGTCAGTTTTCAGCTTTGAATTGCATAATCTGTGTATCTCTTGATTTTGATAGAACCTTTTCTGTGTCTTCATTATAGGTTCTTCCTCTTATTCAAAAGTACAAGGTTGTGCATCTAAATAGAACCGATGCTCGACTCGCCAACAATGGTCAACCTATGGAGATTCAAAAACTGCGGTGCCGGGTAAACTTCAGCACGTTGAGGTTCACTTCCCAGATTGAGGAATTGGGAAGAAAAGTTATAAAGCTGCTAAGACAGAATGGGCCTTTTCTAGTTCTACATCTCAGATATGAAATGGATATGTTGGCATTTTCTGGTTGCACCCAAGGCTGCAATGATGAAGAGGTTGAAGAGTTGACAAGAATGAGGTTAGTCTGTTCTTCTACTGAATGGTGTGGTACTGGTAGATATGCTATGAGTGTGAACTTATTCTAATCATTGTTGTGTTGGTAGATATGCTTATCCCTGGTGGAAAGAAAAGATTATAAACTCTGAGTTGAAAAGGAAAGATGGGTTATGTCCATTAACACCTGAAGAAACTGCACTGACACTGAGAGCACTGGATATTGATCCAAATATCCAGATTTATATTGCTGCTGGAGAAATATATGGTGGGAACAGGAGAATGGCTGCTCTTGCTAAGGCTTTTCCAAAAGTGGTTAGTGTAAATCTCTTAGCTCGGGTCGGTATTTGATCATGTCCTGAAGCCATTTGGATTGTTGAAACAGGTTAGAAAGGAGACATTGTTGGAACCTTCAGAGCTTGGGTTCTTCCAGAATCATTCATCTCAGATGGCAGCTTTGGATTATCTAGTTTCGTTGGAAAGTGATATATTCGTTCCTACATTCGACGGAAACATGGCGAAAGTTGTCGAAGGTCATCGCAGGTGGTATATACAGTTTGTGTCATCTTTTGCTTAAACATTCAAGCTCAGTTACACAATTGTTCATCTGAGAACTGACTGTTTGTTTATGTTTTTGTAGATTTCTGGGGTTTAAGAAGACAATCTTATTGGACAGAAGGCTGCTTGTAGATCTGATAGATCAATACAACAGAAAACAGCTGAAGTGGGGTGAATTCTCATCTGCAGTGAAAGAAGCTCATGCAGGTCGGTGGGGGGGCCCTACAAAGAGAATGGTGATTCCAGAGAGGCCTAAAGAAGAAGATTATTTCTATTCTAACCCAGAAGAGTGTCTGCAGTTGACAGAGGAGGAAGGATTGAGTAGCAGAAGTGCATGATTGACATAAATATATCTCTAGATTTTATTACGGAAGAGATATTTAAATAGAGTTTCCCCGCATGCATTCTGGGAACACTATGAGAGGTCAATTTCAAAAGAATCCAACAGAATCTGTGGAGGACATGTTTTAATGTTATGCCATAATATGCAATACCTGTATAGAACAACAAGAACAAGAACAAGAAGAACAAGAAGAACAAGAAGAACAAGAACAAGAACAAGAGCAATAAGAGAGCAGTTGAAGTTAGAAGATCCTACACAGAAGAAGAAGGCACAATTGATCAGCCATCTCCAATTTTTTTTGTTTTTGTTTTTGTTTTTGTTTTTGTTTCTTTCTGATCAGCCATCAATCATGTGATTTCGATATGTTATGTTGTCATGATATACCATAAATAACACTACATTTTCACAGTTACTTTTCTTCCTTCCTGTTCATTAAGGGTCTCTCTCAGTTATCTGAATTGGCCATTTTGACAGAATAAATAATGGGTTGTCTTCTCTTGATCATCATGCACAGCAGCACCAGAGTGATTTCTTTATAGAACCAAGTGTTTTAGTTGGGAATGAAAAATGAGTTATTAAATGCTAGGAGTTGGTAAACGGGGGCCTATTTCCTTGTGTTACCAAGTATTATATCCTATCGGTAGTTCTTGAGGATGCTTGATTCTCAGAAAGTGACAGGAGAGTAGTGGCCAGAGGAGATGAGGTCTTATTGGTTTAAAAAAATGGATGCTTCTTTATTGGTTGGTTTTTGTCTCCTAATTAGTTTCCCTTGAAGAGTAGGCTTGGAATTTAGGGAAGTGGAACAAAACTTTATCCAAACCACAAAAGGAACCCATGGATTCTTGTTCAGCTTCTTGGGTTGGTAGAAGTAAAACACAGCATTAGAGTCATGGACAAGAAACTTGCCTTCATAATTAAACCAAGCACTAATTTGGAATATATTCCTTCAATTATTGTTAATTTTTTTTTTTTTTTTTTTTTTTTTTTTTTTTTTTTTTTTTTTTTTTTTTTTTTTTTTTTTTTTTTTTTTTTTTTTTTTTTTTTTTTTTTTTTTTTTTTTTTTTTTTTTTTTTTTTTTTTTTTTTTTTTTTTTTTTTTTTTTTTTTTTGTCACTTTTTCACTTGTGTTCCTTGTTGACTATGCCACATTAACTTTTCATTCCTTTTAAACGCCAGTTGTTGTTCAAGAGGGGCAATATATCTTCAATGGTTAAAGTCATTGCATATATCTTCAATGGTCACTTTCTTTATATAGGTTGAAAGAAACATATTTGAAGGAGAAGGCTTTCCATAAAAATGCAATTATAATTTACATAGAAAAAGAAAAAGCGGCTTCTCAATGTTATATGGTGGAAGCCTTAATTATGACAATAGAAAGAAGAATTTTGGATAATGCTACATACCATTGTGTAGGGTAGGTATCCCTAGAAAAATGAATTAAGCTGGACATAAATTTTGGATAATTGTGTGGTTTTGAAACCAGTGGCAGACGCATGGGAACCCGCAAAAAAGGAAAGAGTCGCCCCCTAAAAAATGAACAAATTATGAACGATCACGAAAAGACTGGAATTCTCACACTAGCTTTCGGCAGTCTTGAGCTTCTTTGTGGCTCTCTCAGAATCCTCTGTCGCTGAAGCTCTAGAGTGCGTGGTTGCCATATCGTTTATGGGAATATCGACATCCTATAAATAATGAAAACAATGTAGCAGAGTCATATAACATGAATATTGTTTTCTAGGCAAGAGATCATATGATGAAGTAGAAATAAGATCAAGATAGCATCAGATTACCTTAACAATAGATGTTGGAGATACGGCTCTCCTAGTTGCCCGCTTACCGAGTTCTATTTGCACAGAGATCCTGGACTGCGATAGATCCACTCCAGAACTCTGTAACGCGTGGGTGAGAGTATTTAATAACCTGCAAACCCAAATCAAAATGTAGTTGATTAGTCGTTCGGTAGTCAAACTGCTGCTTATACAATAAGAATTCCAACCAATATGGTAGCTGCTCGGTAACAACCTCTCCACATAACAAATTTGAAGGCTTATGATTCATATTGAACAATAACATTAGAGAAATAGTAGATTAAAGAGACCAACGACAGAGATAAGAAGGTCAAATGGCCAAGCTGATAGAAATAACAAAAGCTCACCCTTGAGAATATACACTTGAGATGTTAATGGTGCCCCCTTCAATGGTCAAATCTTGTTCTTTCTGCATTTCACTTGCAACAGCAACATCGCTATTGTGGCACCTGGCCTCACATGACCGGATTTGGGGACGTAATGAGGGATGATCCTTTTCAGATGCAAATTGCTTTGGGTGTTGAGGCACTACACTTCCATCCCGTGTAGATGCATAGAGTTTTGGCGGCACTATCGTGGGAAACGGCAATGCATTACTTGTTCTTCCAGAATGGCGATCGACTGCTTTCAAGGTAGAAGCAGAACCTGTGTCAGAATCTACCACATTATGTGAACTCCCAGGAACAATTGGAGATAACGGAGTATTTTTCTCAACGAACTTTGCTGCTAAAACTAGTGCAGGAACAGAACCACTACTCATCCCTCGAGATTGATCGTTATAAACATCTGCACTCCGTTGGTTGTTTCTCTGTGCAGCCAAAAGGTTAAATGTAGAAATAAAATTTAGTTGTATACGGACGATCAATTTACTAAATTGATTAAGACCTTAAGTACAAGCCACAAGCCGATTCCTTTATGGACAAATTGCACATATAAAACATGCCGATCCATAAGCTAAAAACTAGAGTAGGCAATCTTTCAAATTACAAATTGAAAGGAAAAAAAAAAAAAAAAAAAAAAAAAAAAAAAAAAAAAAAA